CCAGGTGAGCTCACCTGTGCCCCCGCAGGGCCCACGGCTCCCTGTGTGCCAGCTGCGAGCCGCTGTCCCTGCGCCGGGTCCTACCTGGCTGCACCGACCTGCTGCGCCCACCTGGGCCGCCCTGCCTGGCGCTGGCCCGCGCCCTCGACGACCCCGACGCCCAGGTGAGGGGGGCGGGGCTTGGGGGGGGCACAGGTGTGCCCAGGGGAGGGTGTGGCACCGCCCAGGCGCACCCAGGTGTGTCCAGGGGAGGGCGTGGCACCGCCCAGGTGCGCCCAGGTGTGCCCAGGTGTGTCCAGGGGAGGGCGTGGCACCACCCAGGTGCGCCCAGGTGTGCCCAGGTGTGTCCAGGGGAGGGCATGGCACCGCCCAGGTGTGCCCAGGTGTGTCCAGGGGAGGGCGTGGCACCGCCCAGGTGTGCCCAGGTGTGACCCAGGTGTGTCCCCAGCCCGAGCTGCTGCTGGCGCTGCTGCGCGAGGCCGTGGAGGCGCAGGAGAGCCGCACCCAGGAGGTGAGGGGGGCACAGGTGGGCACAGGTGTGGGTGGGCGTGGCTCTGGGTGCGTCCAGGTGTGTGCCCAGGTGTGTGCCCAGGTGAGTGGGTGTGCCCAGATGTGTGGGTGTGGCTCTGGGTGTGGCTGTGGGTGTGCCCAGGTGTGGCCAGGTGAGCGGGCGTGCCCAGGTGTGTGCCCAGGTGTGTGCTCAGGTGTGTGCCCAGGTGAGCGGGCGTGCCCAGGTGTGTGCCCAGGTGTGTGCACAGGTGTGTGCCCAGATGAGTGCCCAGGTGAGCGGGCATGCCAAGGTGTGCCCAGGTGTGTGCCCAGGTGTGTGGGTGTGCCCAGGTGTGTGGGTGTGCCCAGGTGTGTGCCCAGGTGAGTGCCCAGGTGAGCGGGCATGCCCAGGTGTGCCCAGGTGTGTGCCCAGGTGTGTGGGTGTGCCCAGGTGTGTGCCCAGGTGTGTGCCCAGGTGTGTGGGTGTACCCAGGTGTGTGCCCAGGTGTGCCCAGGTGTGTGCCCAGGTGTGGCCAGGTGAGCGGGCGTGCCCCCAGTTTAACCCTGCCCTGCCCAGGTGCTGTCGGGCCAGGGCCCCGAGCGGCACCTGCAGCGGCTGCGCCAGGCGGCGCTGGCGGCCGGGGAGCCGCTCCCCGAAATCTTCCTGGACCCCACCTACGCCCAGGCCACGCACTTCCGCCTCTGCACCCTGCAGGTGAGCCCCAGACCCACCTGGGGAGCCCCAAAATGTACCTGGGGA